ATACTAATGTTCATGCTCACATTGATACTCATACTAATACAGATACTAATATTGATACTCATATTGATACCAATAATTTAATGATACTAAGACTCATATTGATACTGATATTGTACTGAAAAATATACTGATACTAATATTGATACTAATAATGATATTGATACTGATATTGATATTGATATTAATATCGATACTATTACCGATACTAATACTAATAATCCTATGGATACTCATACTGTTGAGACTCATACTGAAATATTGATACTTATATGGATATATAAATACTCACTCATACTAATACTGATACTGATACTAATATTGATACATATAAAATTATTAAAATGAAAAACTATTTCCGGCCGTATGAGCACCAAATGGTTTTTTCTTTTTCATTGTTAATGGTGTTACTTAAATTGTTTTAATAATTGCATGTGATATTACTCATTGATTTCCATTTTATTTTTCCATTTTATCAGCAATTATAACGTAGATAACCCAAAATAACATAATATTAATAACCAAATTATTTTTTTCTTAATAATAAACAACTCATATTATGTACATGCATTCTAATTATATTTTATTGATAATTATCATGCTTGTGTTTTAATAAAAATAAAGTATATCGTCAATATTAAAAATACTATTAAACTAATTAAAAAGTTACAACAACCAACATAAAGTATAAGAATTTTACTTACCCTATAATGTACATACTGATATAATAAATGATAAATAACAAAATATATGTTCAATAGAAGGTCTTAAAGTCAAAACTGAAAATGGGTTATTTATGCATAAAAAACGAAGTCTAACAACCGAAAAACAAATATACTTGTTTTAATCGAACTTCCTAATATTACAAAAAAAAAAAAAGACAACACTGTAGAAATTCTAACTTCCTAATTGTATATTCGTTTGGAGATGGACAATAAACAAAAATGAGAGGATTGAACAATGGCGTAGTTTTGTGGTATTATGGTAAATTGACAATTGCCTTTTTATCTAATTATATATTAATTATAAATATGTGAATTTCATAATTTAAGTAATAAAGAATGAAAAAACATAAAATTTTGTATTTATAAATTGTAGTTCGGTAAATTAGTGATTACCTTACCTATCAATTTATAATTATAATTACGTAATTTAATGTTGTAAACAATGTAGTGAAGAGTAGAAAAGAAAGAATGATGCATTTATAGATGGCAGTTTGTGAATGAGTGAACTGAATATAAAATTTTGAAATTGCATAAATCGTTATTATTATATAAAATTTAGTGAATGCCAAAAGTTGAAAAGTGCAGTTTGTGCATTTAAACAAAATACTACGCTTAAAAGGAGGTGTTTGAATTTGAAGAATGTGATTCTACAACTACAATCCCATAATTTTCGATTAAATGCTTAAAATTTAAGGTAATTAAAATGAGGATGACAATCTTATGAACCGGCAATTATATGTAATAAAATTCGACAGTATAACAATTGCATAATCGTATAAACTATGACTACTCATTATTTTAGGAAACAAAATCCAAATTATATATAAAAACCGATCTATACAAAGACAATTAAAATAAATATAAAATAGCCTAGATATCCCACCCTATATATTAGGATTGGAAATCGGACGGAATGGATCGGAAATGTCTTTTTCGGAAAATTTCCAATTTTTTTCGGAAGTTAAAAATAGGTTCCAATTTCTGTTCCAAAAAAATCGGAATTTCAAAATCCATTCCAATTTCGGAACACCTAGGAATCGGCGGAATTTCGGAATTTTCGGAAATTGCATTAAGCCTTAATTTTTTGTTCCAAAATCGGAAATAATGGTAATTTTTAGCATTTTTTTCTTCTAATATTTTCATAATTTCCGGCAAAAGGCAAGAATCCAAAACAAAGGTCAATAAAAGGAAATGTAAAACACTTGTAAAAACAACATAATCATTTTATCAAAGCAAACATAGTTCTTGAAAATTTTGCAAAAAAAAAGAAAAAATAAATATAGTTCTTGCAAAACATGAATAGAAAAACAATTCAAAAATAATATATATATATATATATATATATATATATATATATATATATATATATATATATATATATATATATATATATATATATATATATATATATATATATATATATATATATATATATATATATATATATATATATATATATATATATATATATATATATATATATATATATATATATATATATATATATATAATTTTATATTTCGGAAATAAAATTGGATCGGAAATCGGAATTTCCAATAATTTTATATGTAATTCCAATTCCGTCCAAAAATAATCGGAAAAATTGGAAATCGGAATATCAGAAATCGGAATGAAAAAAAGTGTTCCAAATTCGGATATTTTCGGATCGGAATCGGCGGAATTCGGAAATTCCGTTCCAATTTCCACCCCTACTATATATACTTTACCTTCAAAGTATAAACAAAGTTAGTACTAAAATGGTAAAATACTTCATGAAATAAAATTTGGTGGTTATATGTTAACATACAAAGATGAATAAATGTGAAAAAAATACAACAGTTGATGAGACTATAGACATCCGTGCAATCATAATGTCCATCAATGCAAAATAACAACGAAAGTTAAAGTGATAAATATGTAAAGGATACATAAAATATTACTAAACAATATTACAATGGTTGATAAAATATATTTAGGATAAAATGCGAATTGAATTTTAAGTAGTAAAAGGATTGCTACGGAAAAAAATAGATAATTATTAAACACTCGCCCTGTGGGATCTATTTTTTGACATAATTTAAATTGTTATATTGATACTAATTCTGCAAAACATAAATAAAAGAAATATTGTTACAACTATATGCCCTGAAATTAAAATGTAAAATTAACAGATTCGTCAGGTCAACAACATCGACAAAATACAGTAAAACATAGACATTGCGAACATGAAAATATCATTTTTTAAAATAAATACAATAACGATTTAAATAAGATATTAAGTATTTTCTACTTATATAGAGCGCTCTTCGATAAAGAAAAGTCGACAAAATGACATGGGTTACTTGTGCATCACGGTCAGATTCTCCTGTCAATATTGATTTTGACAACCCTTTGTAAACTGAATCGCTTAAATCCTCCGAAATCATGAACTAATGAACATATACATTAATTTTCATGGTATAGTCTAAAACGAATGGAATGGCCGAGTTAAAAAATGAATATAAAAAAACTTAAATGCGAAACCTAAAGAATACCATTAACCAAAAAAAATAAAAAATTGTTACATATACACATACATTTTAACGAATAACACAATAAATTAAAAAGAAATTTAAAACATATAACGTGGTCCGAACAAACACATCGAAAAAGTAAGAAACGTTATGCAAAATAGAAAGACGAGAAAAAAAAAATTAGGGTGACCCTGGTGTGGTGTAATTATAACAAAAGGTTGGCATGAAGAATGAGATGAATAGGTTAAAGTTGATGGTTTATATATTTAAGTTTCACACGCTAAATAAGTTAATAAAATCAAATGAAGGAAATTATAATTAATTGAATTAGTTGGTGGAATTAAATCATGAAATTGAGGCAATTAATAATGGAATTATTTAGTCCTACATTACTCATTGTGTAGATAATTACTATATGCAAATCGAAATTTATACATGGAAATGATCTCCATAAAATCTATATAATATAATTGATTTGTAATAGATATTGATTGATATTTGACATAAAAATGAAGAAACTATTCCAGCATACATAAATGGACGTTTTCATGGATCAAATCAC